AAAAAAAAAAAAATATATATATATATATAGATAGATAGATAGATACATAAAACATATAATCATACAGTTTTATTGACTAGAATAATAATGAACAAATTCGTACAATAAATCACTAACCTCTGCTTCATGCTTTATTTTTTCTTCTTCTAAAATATGTGCAAACTCTTCTTTCTGGTGTTCAAATTCTGACTTGAGGAAAGTGTGTTCATAGCGAAGCTTATTATATTCAGCTCTATACTTTTCCACCTCCTAAAAGAAGATTATAATTTATCACAGATAGATGAACAAAATTTGTACCTACTTCAAAAATCACTTGAAAATAGTAAATATAATTTTAAATTACATTATATTGACAGCTATTCTAAAAGCAAAATATAATAAATATCACAAATATAAATGAACCTAGAAGAATCCTTGTGACAAGTTTCTTACATATACAATTAGTACATTCCTGAGAAAGTACCAATAAAGTAAATTACCATTCAACTGACTTTATAACTTCACTGAATCTCATTAAAATTATATATCATAAGTTTTTACCTCTGGATTTAATAACACAATAGAACCTCTTTAAGTTGACCACCCAAAGGACTGTAACAAACTGGTCAACATACAGAGATGGTCAACATAAGAAACTTGCATTGACATTATGCAGTGCGTGTCCAGTCTATGAAAATTAGATCAATTTAAGGAGGTGGTCAATGTAAGGAAGTAGTCAACTATGTTGGTTCTACTGTATTTAAGTGTAAAGTACACCTTTCAAAAGATAGCTAGATTTTAAAAAGTATAATGAAGTATAAAGTAGCACACTTACAAGTCAAACAAGAAAAATTCAAAATAGATAAAAAGTTATTTTATAATATTTACTACAGTAACTTAAAGTTCAATCACATATTATAATGATTGGTCAATTCAACGTACTAACCCAAAGAATATATATAGCACCAACATCTCTCTTAACCGGAACACATGCAATTCCCTAGAGCAAAGGTTCTCAACCTGTGGGTCGCGACCCCTTTGTAACAATAAAAACACATCCTGCATATCAGATAGTTACATTAGGATTCACAACAGTAGCAAAATTACAGTTATGAAGTAGCAACGAAAATAATTTTATGGCTGGGGGTCACCACAACATGAGGAACTGTATTAAAGGGTTATGGTATTAGGAGGCATTAGGAAGATTGAGAACTACTGCCCTAGAGTGCTCTAATCCTGCTTCCTAATGGCATTCTATGAAAGTTGCTGGTATTCTGAGTACTTGACAAGAAACTTGGGTGATACAGCAGAAATATATAGGAAATACTATTTCAACATGTACCATAAAATTTTAGGTAACAAGGAAAGCGTGTCTCCTAAAACACTCAGCTCACTGTACATCTTAAATTGAAAGATTCCTAAGCCAGTTAACAAACCAAGAAAATAGGTTTCATGATTTTATTAGAGATATACTTTTGTTGTGAAAAAATGCTTTTACTTAACTTAATCATAAACCTTGGGCCTGAAAGATTTTATTTCCAAAAATTAAATCTACTCCCAAACCATTAGGAGTATATTCAAAAGACCATATTATCAAGCCAGTAAGCCATTATAAAGAGGAATCCACAATGGTTTTGTGCAATGGAAGCACGACTAGACTGTAGCAACCCAAAGGGCTACATTTTGAAGAGGACAATAATCCTGTGTATGTTCAAGGCCAGGTCTATTTGTTAAATACAGTAACACATATAAAATGCCTAGCACAGTACTATCAGATGGACATCTGCAGCCTTTTCCTGGCCTCTCTATTAAGCATGTAGTCATATCTACCAACACTTTTTTTTTTTTTTTGAATGGTAACTATGTACATTAATGCACTTCTGAGGTACAGTGTGGGGTTTTCACATGCAATCTGAAATACTTCCATCAAACTGGTCAACACAGCCTTCATGTCATTTTCTCAGTTATTGCTTTAAAACGTTCACATTCTACTTAGAAAGATTCACCTGTACCCCTATAAGATAAACCTCAGAAGTGATCCCTCCAAACCCCCTCCCTCCACCCATTCCCTCCTCCCTTCTCCCTCCCCCCTCCCCATATTCTTAGGCTACCAACACTTTTTTAAAAGGAAACTCATCTCAACCTCAAGTTAAGAAATGTTTCCTTTATGAGGGTCTATGAAATTCTTTCCTTAAACAAATAATAATTGAACACTTCTTATATACCAGGAACTATTCAGGAACTTGGAATATAACATGAACAACACAAGGGTTCTTCCTCTCATGCTGTTTCATTCCAGAAGTGGTAAAACAAAAAGTAGGCAAAATAAGTAGGTTTTATTTTGAGAAATTATATAGCATATTAGAAGTTGATCTGTATCAGAAAAACAATAGCATAGAGTGAGGGGGTGTCCTACGTGTATAGGAAAGGTAGGCTGCAATATTAAATGGAAAGACTGGGGATGGTCAAAGTAGGCCTTATTGAGAAAGTGACATTTTAACAAAGACCTACAACAGATGAAGGAGTTCACCAAAAGATATCTGGAGGGAAAAAGATTCAAGGCAAAGCAACGCTAGAGCAAAGGTTCTTCAACTGCACACCTTCTGGCATGTCAAACAAATGTGAGAAGGCCAATGTCAATGGAGGAAAAGAGGTCAGAAAAGTAATGGAATCCAACCCTAGGGAGCTCCTATAGGGTTTCTGGGTAGGGGAATGATGCTTTCATCAAGACTTTGATAGTCACATGAAAATAATTGCACAGTTCTTCATAAGGTACTTACTTCATCCAGATTGTGAAAACGTTCTCTCATTGGAGTTTCTAATTCTTGCTGTATTTGAAATCTTAATACTTCCAACTTTTGCGGAGTTAATACCTAATATATAAATACAAACATTCTAAATATGAAATCATAAGTATTAAATAAAATCAAGAGTTCTCCAAATTTCAAAGCCTCTCTCCTAATTATGACAATTGAATTCAATTCATCAACGTTTTCACAACATTGCTAATTTTACAGTAATCACTATATAAACAGATCATCATTTGAAACAATACTTTAAGAATCTCAATTTCAGACTCTCAGATACATGAAATATTCCATTAACACGAAGTAAAGACAGTCACTGACTATTATGTTAGGAATAACTATGTTAGCATCAAGATGGATACAATGGCGGATAGTCCATTTTCCAAAGTAAAGGTGAATAATTTCTTTAAAAGGTAAAGCAAAATAGTCTGAAGAGATTTCTTCAGACTTATATTTAATCAGAAAAGGCCGGTTTTTATTCTCACTACCAAAACTAATTTAGGTCATAATCTCTTAGGCCAGTTTTTATTCTCACCACCAAAACTAATTTAGGTCATAATCTCTTATGATACTCATATTTCACAAGTAATTAAATATTTATGCACTCTCCATATGGGCAGAGTTGGTCTTGGTTCACCTATTGTATTCGCAACCCCACCCACCACTGCCTGGCACATAAGAACTGCTCGATTATTACTTCATGAATGAATGAACAAGTGAACAAATTCTGATTGTAAAAAAAAATTCAGTTTTGATTCAAATTAGCCTCTATAAAAGTGAGAATAATGTTCAGTTTAATTCATTTGTTCATTGATATTCCAAATACTTTATTCAAAATATTACATTTTACTGAATGAAAGCCTACTATCCAAAAAACATTGTGCAATGTACATTGAAATGTACAATCCACATGCCACACTGTTCTAAGCACCTTATGACCATTAATTTATTTAATTCTCACAACAAGATCACAGTAGCTACAATGAGCACACAAAGAGTCTAACTTTCTAAAGATCATAAAGACTCACACAAAGCATGTATCTTCTCATAAGAAGTTCAAACTCTGGCATGAAAAATAATTCTATACACAAAGAACTATAGAAGTAAGCAATATAGGCTTACCAGATAGGTAAAGTCAAAGAGAAAAAAAAAAAAATTTAGGATAGAAAAAATAATGCATCAAAAGAATGGGAAAACTGAAGCTTGGGTGGAACTCAAGAACAGGTAACATTTTAATTTTATCTTGGGACAGCAGAGACTTTACAAGAGAAAAGTAATTCTAAAAGATGAATGAAGGTGGCTCGGCACCTGTGGCTCAAGCGGCTAAGGCGCCAGCCACATACACCTAAGGTGGTGGGTTCAAATCCAGCCCGGGCCCGCCAAACACCACTAATGGCTGCAACCAAAAAATAGCTGGGCATTGTGGCGGGCACCTATAATCCCAGCTACTTGGGAGGCTGAGGCAGGAGACTCACTTGAGCCCAGGAGCCCAGGAGTTGGAGGTTGCTGTGAGCAGTGAAGCCAGGGCACTCTACCCAGGGGCTCAGCTTGAGGCTCTGTCTCAAAAAAAAAAAAAAAAAAAAGATGAATGAAGGCATTTTAGATGAGACTACACAAAGCACCACAGAAAATTGAGAATCCTGGGTCCCCATGCATTAACACCAGCACAGAGCTAATTACTGATGTTTGGTGACAGGTAAGTGAGGATGCACTATACCACTCTCTATACTCCGCATATATTTAAGATTTCCATAATTAAAATATAATTAAAGATAATAGGGTTTCCACTTTCAGCCAAGACAATAATAGAAACAAGATTTACTCTCAACCTGAAACAAACAAAATGTACACAAATTAAACAAAACAGTTTGCAAGACATTGGACATAAGTTAGCAAAATCCAAACCCCTGAAAGAAAACAGAAAAGGAGAGTTTTGAGAGCTTTTACAACATGGCACTGGAAAGGATGCCCAGGCAGAATCTGACAGACTCCCTGTCTTGAGGAGAAAGACCAGAACCCAGGGACATCAGTGTGGTTAGAGTCACAACACAGGGAAGCAGACAGAACAGTAGCACAGAAAGAGAACTATGAACATCTGTACAGTCTTGACTCATTCAGTAGAGTACTGAGTAGCACATGTATGCAAGGGAACTACTTAAGACTGCAGAAGAATCACCCGAAAGGAGTAGAAAACTCATACAGACCTATGACTAGTTGCTATTCTCAAGACTAGACTAAAAAATTTCATGTCAGGGTGGCACCTGCGGCTCAAAGGAGCAGGGCGCCAGCCCCATATGCCGGAGGTGGCAGGTTCAAACCCAGCCCCGGCCAAAAGCAGCAAAAAAAAAAAAAAAATTTTTTTTTCATTTCATAGAGAAATGGGTTTTCAGCAGGATCTTGTCTCAGAGTGGAAAATTAGAACTATACTAAATAAAATTTGGGCGGTCCCCAAATTACAAACATCCAACTGTGGTATGACCTGCACTTATAAATGGGAGGCTATTAGAGGTATTATTTAACCTTAAAAGCAAGACCTAAAAAGCTAAAATAGTAATTTAACTGTGTTCTATAACAACGCTATAATAACTCCAAGTAATTTAACTGTATTCTATAACAATTTTCAAGATATTTACTGGGATGCAAAAATATTCAACACTGTGCAAAGTAAAGTCCAATATCCAAAAAAAATTTATCAAGTATGCAAAGGAGGGAAATACTACCCATAATTAGTTATGAAGAGAAAGAGAATCAACCTAAAATAGGCCTAGAAGTGACACAGATGTTAGAATTAGTAAATTTCTTTAAACAATTACTATAAAGTTATTATAACTGAATCCCACATACTCAAAAAGCCAAAGAAAAGTCTGACTGGTAAGTAGAGATAAGGTATATATAAAAAAAAAGAATCAAAACTGAACTTCTAGAGAGGAACACTGTAATTTCTGAAATGAAAAGTATAAGAATTAAATTAATGGCAGATTAGACACTGCAGAGGAAAGTTACCAGTGAACTTGAAAACATGGCAATAGAAACTATCCAAAATGAAACATAGAGACAAAAAAGACTAAACATAAATTAATAAGCAGAGTATCAGTGAGCTATAGAAGAATTTTCAGTGGCCTATTATTAGAATGTAATTAAAGTTCTCCAGGAGATAAAAGAGGTAGGAGAAAAAAATATTTTTAGAAATAATGTCCTGGCTAGGCACAGTAGGTCATGCCTGCAATTGCAGCACTGTGGGAGACCAAGGTAGAAGGACTGCTTGAGGCTAACAATTCAAGACCAGTCTGGACAACACAGCAAGAACCAATTTCCCCAAAAATGTTTCTAACACTGCAGCCCAGGAATTCAAGGTCACACTGAGCTATGATCATTATGATCATGCCATTGTACTCCAGTCGGGGAGGAGAGAGGAAGAGATGGGTGAAGGGGGTGGGGATGGGAAGAGGAAGGGAGGAAAGGGTGGGAAGAAGGAAGTCCAAAAATTTTCTAAGTTTGATAAAAACTGTAAAACCACAGACCTATAAAGCTCAATAAACCTGAGGCATCAAAAGATGAAGAAAAATGCAGATATATCCATCAAACTACTCAAAACCAGCAATAAAGAGAAAATCTTAGCAGTCCAAAACAAAACAAAAAGACACACTGCATACACAGAATGAAGACATGAAGACAGAGTAACAACAGATTTCTTTTTTTTTTTTTTTTAGGCCAAGTCTGACCTGTCACCCTGAGTAGAGTGCCATGGTGCCATTATAGCTCACAGTAACCTCAAACTCCTGGGTTCAAGTGATCCTCTTGCCTCAGCCTCTTGAGTAGCTAAGACTACAGGCATGCACCACCACACTGGGCTAGTTTTTCCTATTTTTAGTAGAGAGGAAGTCTCCATCTTGCTCAGGCTGGTCTCAAACACCTGAACTGAAACAATCTACCCACCTTGGCCTCCCAGAGTTTGAGGATTATAGGTATGAACTACCATCCTCGGCACAGATTTCTTACATGAAAAAACATAAGTGAGAAGATCATAGAATATCTTTAAGGACTGGTGGGAAAAATAACCTGTCAACCTAGAATTCAATATTCAGCAAAATTTTTTCAAAACACAAAAATCTTTTCAGATATACAAAAGCTGAAAAAAATTTCTCACCAATAGACCTGCACTATAAGAAATGTTAAAGTCCTTAAGACAGAAGGAAAATAGAAAGTGATGCCACACAGGAATATGGATTTACATAAAGGAATGAAGACCACTGAAATTGGTAAGTACATGGGTAAATATGTAAGATTTTTTTTGTTTGTTTTTACTTAAATCTACTTAAAGTATAATGAGCATTTTATTCTCTTTATCTTACTTTGTCCACCTCACTTAAAACAGACTGACTGTAATAAGCATTTTAAACACAAATAATGACAGTCTAGTGTGGAGTTCATAAGGTAGGCAGAGAAAAGTTATATTCTATAAACCTAAAGTAAAAGACATGTACCACATAAAGCCAAAAGGAACATTTAAAATAACACAAGGAATTAAAGCTAATAAGCCAACAAAAGGGATAAACTGGAGTCATAAAAATAATTAATAAAAAATACTAAAGAAAAAATTGGAAAAAGAAATAAAGAACAAATAGAAAATAAAGAGTAAGATGGAAGATTTAAATCTAACTGTATAACCACAACAAATGTAAAAAGCCTAAACACCCTAATTAAAGGGAAGAGACTGGCAGAATGACAGCAAAATGCACAATATTATTTTCTTAAAGAATATTTAAACAAATATATACTGAGTATCAATAACCTTAATAAATCATTGTGCCCACAAGTATTAAGTAAAATGTGCAAATAAAAATCAGTAAGTAGGGCAGCGCCTGTGGCTCAAAGGAGTAGGGCGCCGGCCCCATATGCTGGAGGTAGTGGGTTCAAACCCAGCCCCGGCCAAAAAAAAAAAAAAAAGAAAGAAAAGAAAAATCAGTAAGTAAAGAACATGGCCAGGTATGGTGGCTCACACCTATAATCCTAGCACTCTGAGAGGTGGGTGGATTGCTTGAGCTCAAGAGTTCGAGAAGAGCCTG